GAATCTATGTGTGCTTGCAATTTTACACTTAGCTATTGGGACTTTCACGATGGTGGTTGGTGGGCGTCCCTCAGCACTAACCACTATTGGTTTCCCGAAGCTAACTTATTGGTGGTATTCTTCTTACACTGGCTCTTCATATGTCCTTGCTCTTCACAGTTCCAACAACGTTTCTGGGTAGCAGCCTTTCCTGTCGTGGCATCTTCCCTGTGTTGAAGTTTCCAGCATTGAGCTCTCTTGTGCCCAGGTTTAATACAGTGCCAGCAAAGTCAATCAAACTTCTCTGAAAGCCGCCCTTTTCTGGCCTTGAATCTCAATGACTGTACCAACCTTGGTACTTCTGTGTTGGACTTAACGTAGGATTCAAATTCAAGAGCTCTGACTATTGCATCCTGCATAGTAGAGGGGTGGGCTTGCTTTACTTACATATTCAGTTATGGACTATTCAAGGCATCTACAATCTGATCCCTCAGCAACAAATTGAAGACATCGGGTGGCGCAGTTGGGTAGGCCTTGTGTGTCATATTTTCCAAATCTTGTGCCAACCTTGCAGGTTCTCCCCTTTATCAATGACTCTCGTCTAAACCTAGCCCTCGTAGACTTCAGACTGATTTTGGGTTCCATACCTGAGTTCTAGAGCATCTACCAGTGCTCCATGCTTGTGTCTCTCGTCTGCTGACAACTGTCCAAGTATTTCCAGTGGTTGTCTATTCAAACTCGTTGCCAGGTACATTTCTTTCTGCTCCACTGTCAATCCATTCATTTATGCCAGGAGCTCAAATTGTGCTCTATATGCTTCCCACGGTGCTATCCCATCGAATTCCTGTGGCTTCCTTCGTACTAGATCACCCCAATTACTGACATTCATATCTGGGATGTGACTTCTGACAAGACTGAAGATGTCTGCATTAGGGTTTAGCTGCGGGGTTTTGAAGGGGCTTGTCATTGTGTGGGGCTGATTAAGTCGATGGTTAATGTATCCTCCTTGTGTAAAAGATAATAAATCACCCATTGTTGTATTTAATTCGCTTTGAAATTTACTAATGTTTTCCATTTGTACTTCTTATTTACTTTCTTGTTCCAGTTGCCACTGCTGTAGTATCTCTTCTTGTTTATGTTCTCGTTCTTCTTGTTTCTTCTCTTTTTCTTCCAACAGCTGTTGTAATCTATTTTGCTTATTTTGCTGTTCGAGCTGTCACTGTTGCATGTTTTCTTGCCACTGCTGTTGTCTCTCTTCTTGTTTCTTTTCTCGTTCTTCTTGTTTCTTTTCTTTTTCCTCCAACAACCGCTGTAACCTCTCTTGTTTATTTTGTTCTTCAAACTGCCACTGTTGCATGTTTTTTTGCCACTGCTGTAATCTCTCTTCTTGTTTCTTTTCTTGTTGATTTTCTCGTTCTTCTTGTTTCTTTTGCTGTTCTTGTATTGCTGCCATCAATTCTGCTAAGCTGTAGTTTGAGTTGCCACTTCTCGTTTCCATCTTCTTTATCTTTTTTTTTTCAATCCCACTTCTGACATCAATTTGTTACGTCTCTGTTCGTCTGTTAATTTTCCGTATAATTTATTTCCGATGAAACTTCAGCGACACAAGTCCTTTCTTAAATAGAAATAGTTTATTCCCTCTCAATACAACTTTGCAATACACTTAATTTCCACAGTCTCTTTAACTTAAACACACGCTATAATTCAAAACGATTCACGCATTTGACTACCGCGCTTGACTCGATTGTCCGTCTCTGTCTGTCTGCATCTATCTATCTATCTCCATGCCGTCAATTTTCGCCGGTCCCATGTACAAAAGAGTGCATCTCTAGCAAACGCTCCAGCCTTCAGGAACGTTGGAGATACTCAATACGTGTTACCAGCGTCACGTGACTTCCGCTGCCGTAACCATATATATATAAAACTGCACGTGTTATAACGATAACTACATCTTACATAACTGAAATGTATAAGTACATCATAATTATTCCTATGTAAATAGTTTAATAATTAATTATCACATTATAAGTTAAACATCGTATCGAACTGGCTAGTAGTATATTGGTGTGAAAATACAGTCACTGCTTTCTGAAGTATACATGCAACACGAAGGATTTAACACGGCGTAATTTTACGTACTTCTTTGGATTATCCCGGAGTAGCTTTAGGATACTTCTTTAGATTTATCACATCGTAACTTTACGGTACATCTTTGGATTTATCACGGCGTAACTTTAAGATACATATTTGGCCTGGTCATTGCAATGTATAACGATAAAATATTCACGTGCACCTTTGAATATGCTATGGTCATTAGTTTCTCTGTGAACTTGTGGAATTAATGTTTATAAGGGGTTTAAAAGAAGGAGTTCGTTCACACCTCCAGAAACCCCTTGGAGATGCCCCTGTATGACACTCTCAGGTACAAAGTCTATATGCGATGCAGACAATTTTTCAACCAGCTCAATCCCTGTGTGATAAGTCTTAAAACGTAACATAAAAACTGGCTTTGTTCGTATCAGTTCCTTAAATTATGATTAAAACATAACATAAAAACCGGCTTTCTTCTTGTCAGTTCCTTAAATTATGATTAAAACGTATAATAAAAATTGGCTTTGTTCGTATCAGTTCCTTAAATTATTATTAAAACGTAACACAAAAACTGGCTTTGTTCGTATCAGTTCCTTAAATTATTATTAAAACGTAATATAAAAACTGGCTTTGTACGTATCAGTTTCTTAAATTATGATTGAAACGTGACATAAAAACTGGCTTTGTTCTTATCAGTTATGTTACGACAGCGGAAGTCACGTGACCCTGGTAACACGTAATGAGTATCTAGAAGGATCGGGGAATATCACGAATAATCCAGTATTTGCTAGACGCCTTCTATTCCTGTATATAAGCAGGCAAATAAAGCGAGATAATTAATTGAATTGAATTGCAGACAAGCAGAGATAGAGGCGGACAACTGAGTCAAGCGCGGCAGTGACCGTAAGTAAAATGCTTGAATCGTTGTGTATTATAGCGTATGTTTAAGTTGAAGTGACTGTGGAAATTAAGTGTATTGCAAAGTTGTATTGACAAAGAATAAACTAGTTTTGTTTAAGAAAGGACGTGTATCGCTGAAGTTTTTCGGAAAGAATTTCTACGGAAAATTAACCAACGACCAGAGACGTAACAGCTCCTAAAATTATGATTAAAGCGTACCATAAAAACTGTCTTTGTTCCTATCAGTTCTTTAAATTATGATTAAAACGTGACATGAAAACTAGCTTTTTCGTATCAGTTCCTTAAATTATGATTAAAACGTAATATAAAAACTGTCTTTGTTCGTATCACTTCTATGAATTACGCTGAATTATACGTTTAGCGATTAATCATTCAAGATGTGATCAAATTACTCATTACGAAATAACCTGACAAACAAATTTCCATCTACTACTACTAGTGACAAGGTAAACCACTTTAGATACTCGCTACGTCTGATCAATGGATTAAACATTACCCAATACGAACTAACCTGACAAATATATTTCCCTCTACTACAAGAGACAGGGTAAACCACCATAGATATTCGCTACGTCTGATCCAGTTTGTATTTTCTGTAGTCGTCCAACATCCCGACCTACAAACGAATGTGGGCAGCGATGGAATCATCCCGGCCTACTGTGTTCGCAGAGTCCAATGCGAAAGGTGTTGAGAGAGTACTGAAAGGAAACTATGCTTACCTTATGGAGTCCACTTCTATTGAATACAGAACTGAGAGAAACTGTGACTTAATGCAGATTGGTGGGTTATTAGATCAAAAAGGATATGGCATTGCTACGCCACCTGGTAAGGCTTATTTAAATACTCATAGTTCTTTATTTTTGCCTGATGATTCTTATTTTATTGATATAAACTTCAATATCCTTAAACGTTCTTGTATACAAATTCTTTAATAAGTAACAACAATTCAGTTTTTAATTTGCTAAGAATTATTTATATTTTTCTTTAATCTTCTTCATTGAATGCTAGAAGGTGACATTGTCTGAAAGACAACATTGTCTGAACTAGTCATATTATGGAATTTCTTATACAGTGTGACCTATAATCTGTTATATTAAAGATCCTAAAAAATATCACAAATACTAATTAAATATGAACTTCTGTCGTATACAATAATTTTTAAACAGTACAAGATTTTCTAAGGTTACCGAGACCTTACAACAAGAAAATAACCAATTTAACATTAAAGGTAACCAAAATGTTAGGATAGGGTAGGACCCCTGAGGGATGATAAATGAAGCTATTATCTGATGATTATGAGATGGCTGGGTTATTAAATTATTACTTTTTTTTTGGTTTTTACTAATGAAGATTGAAGAAGTATTCCACATCTTGAACAGTTGATGAATGGAAATGAGATAAAATAAGATTATTGCATTAATTCTGAGCTGATTAACAAAACATTGGGAAGATTAAAGAACGATAAGGCTCCTAGGACAGATAATATTTCCCCAAGGGTTTTGAAGGAGGTTAAAGATTGGATATGTGAGACACTTGCTACTATTTTTTGTCAGTCCTTGAATAGTGGGCAAGTACCCGAGGATTGGAAGTTAGCTAATGTAACTCATTTTTTCAAAGGAGGTGATCAAAACTGTCCGAGTAATTGTATACTCAATAGTCTTACATCATTTTGGGAAAAGTTTTGGAAAGTCTGTTTAAAGATGCTTTGCAAAGTCATTTAACAAAGTTTAGAATTTTAGTGGATAGTCAACATGGTTTTACTAAGGGAAACCTTGCCTTATAAATCTGTTAACATTCATTGAAAAGGTTACTGCTTATGGAGATGAGTGTAAGAGTGTAGATTTGGTGTATTTGGATTATCAGAAAACATTTGACAAAGTGCCTGATAAAAGGCTTGTAAAAAATTTATATCTATAGGTGTGGGGGATAAGCTAGCAAATTGGATAGAAGAGTGACTGAATGGAAGAAAGCAGATGGTTGTTAGACATGGGTTCAGTCAGACTGGATCAATATCACAAGTGTAGTACTTAAAGGCTCAATTCTAGGACCTTTGCTCTTTTTAATTTGCATCAATGACATAGATGAACATGGCCAGGTGATTAGGGCACTCGACTCGAAATCTGCGGGCCGCGGGTTCAAATCCCCGACCCACCAAACATGCTCTCCCTTTCAGCCGTGGGGGCGTTATAATGTGACGGTCAATCCCACTATTCGTTGGTAAAAGAGTAGCCCAAGAGTTGGCGGTGGGTAGTGGTGACTAGCTGCTTTCCCTCTAGTCTTACACTGCTAAATTAGGGACAGCTAGCGCAGATAGCCCTCGTGTAGCTTTGCCGGGAAATTCTTAAAACAAACAAACAGACATGGATGAAAGAGTGATCAATGAATTTATAAATTTGCAGTTGATATTGTTACGTCTCCGTTCGTTAGTTAATTTTCCGTAAATTCGTTCCGACGAAACTTTAGTG